TCATCGTTACTACGGCACCCTGACTAGCTAGTCTCCTCCCTACAACCCTTCTTTAAGGGGATGTCCAGTTGCCTACAGATGGGTCTTGGGTCCACAATCTGCAAACCCCCTCATTCATAATGATTTTATTTTTTGTTCTTTTTAAAAATAATTTTATTAGGGGCTCGTACAACTTTTTTTCATACAACTCTTAGCACAATCCATGCATACATCAATTGTGTAAAGCACATTTGTACATTCATTGCCCTCATCATTCTCAAAATATTTGCTTGCCACCTAAGCCCCAGGCATCAGCTCCTCAGTTTTTCCCCTCCCTCTCTGCTCCCCTCTCCCACATGAACCCTTGATAATTTATAAATTATTATTTTGTCATATCTTGAACCGTGCGATGTCTCCCCTCACCCACTCTTCTGTTGTCCATCCCCCCTGGGAGGAGGTTATATGTAGATCCGTGTAATCGGTTCCTCCTCCCCAACCCGCCCTCCCTCTATCCTCCCAATGTTGCCATTCACACCACTGGTCCTGAAGGGATCATCTGCCCTGGATTCCCTGTGTTTCCAGTTCCTATCTGTACCCCAGCGTACATCCTCTGGATTTTTTGTTCTTTGATGCCTCCTACCTGATCCCTTCAGCACTTCATGATCACATAGGCTGGTGTGCTTCTTCCCTGTAAGCTTTGTTGCTTCTGAGCTAGATGGCTGCTTGTTTACCTTCAAGTCTTTAAGACCCTAGATGCTATGTCTTTTGATAGCTGGGCACCATCAGCTTTCTTACCACATTTGCTTATGCACCTACTTTGTCTTCAGCGATTGTGTCGGGAAGGTGAGCATCATGGAATGCCAGTTTAATAGAACAAAGTGTTCTTTCATTGAGGGAGTACTTGAGTGGAGGCCCAATGTCCATCTGCTGCCTTAATACTAAACCTATAAATATATGCACATAGATCTATTTCCCCATCCTCATCTATAAATATACTTACATATGTACATACCCTTATTTAGACCTCTATAAATGCCCTTTGCCTCCTAGTTCTGTCCTCTATTTCCTTTTACTTTCCTCTTGTCTCACTATCATGGTCAGCCTTCATTTGGGTTTCAGTCATTCCTCTCTGTTATATTGCCCTGATCAAGCCCTACCAGATCTCCTACACCCTCCTCACCACAGATTTGGATCACTTGTTATTCCCTTGTCCCTCGGTTTGTTAACACCACTTCTTTTCCCCCCACCTCGCCCTCTCCCATGGCCCCCCAACCATCGGTTCCGTTGTTTTCTCCGCCAGATTGTTCATCCAGCCTATCTCATCTAGACAGACCTGCAGAGATAATACCATGCACAAAACAAGACATAGCAAAACAAAGCAACAAAAGAAAACAAACAACAAGAACAACGTAAAAGAAAAGCCTGTAGTTAGTTCAAGGACTGTTTGTTGGCCTTTAGGAGTGTTTTCCAGTTGAGTCTGATGGGGTGCCACGCCCTGGTCCCAAAGTCTACTTTTGGTATTCCCTGGGGACTTGGATGCTCTGTTCTCTTTGCTGTTCTGTTCCATGCCCTTAGTGTTTTGTCTTCGTGTGGTGGGATCAGATCAGGCGCAAATCTCACACTGTCTCCAGTGTTGTCCCCTGTCAGTAACGGATGTTGTTTCTCTCATAGTGGCGCCGGCCATATTCTGTGGATTTGCTGCTCTGCGCAGGAATATCGTCCTCAAGGCTTGGTGGGTCAGGATGTGCTCCACTCTCTCTTCCTCCCCCTTCATGTGCTCCACTCTCTCTTCCTCCCCCTTCATATGCTCCCGTGTGCTCTGATCAGACATGTCCCTCTCCCTGAGCTGCAGCTTCAGTGCTGTCCTCTGAAATAAATTTTTCTGGGGGGAGGGGCAGGTGTCCCCGTAGTTGGGATTGGGGCTGGCCCCTCAGGGAAGTTAGAGTTCTTTGTTGTTACTGTTTAGTTTAATCCTTTACTTATCCTAATTCTGATCTGGATCAGAATTGCATTAAATGTAAAGAACACACTGGAAAGATATGATTTTCTGTGCCTGTAAAGATTGACAGACTTGGAAACCCCAGCATGGTGGTGGTGGTGGTGGTGGTTCTGTGTCCCAAGGTTGCTATGAGTAAAAATTGCCTGATAGGCATTTGCAGATAACTGTATTCCTATACTGCTATCCCCCTTTTGGACTTAATGATACCTTTTGAATAATTTTGAATAATGTTACTATGAATATTCACTTATATGTTGTCTTGAGATGCTACTTAAAATTTGGGTGGGGAGAGATTTGTAGAGGATCTGCAGGATCATATGATAATTATTTAATTTTTTTATATAGCCAATATTTGCGTAAATTATGTTCCCTTATATTTCACTTTTTTCTTTATGTGACACAGAAAAAAACCTTTTTTTGGGGGGGATGGTTCTTAATGGGAATCTTATCAGAGATAATCCCCCCCCCCAATTGTTATTTTTGAAACTTGTTTGGTTCTTTTTGAAACTTTTGTTCTTATTCCTTAGCTTTGTGTAGTTTTAGTAGTGCTTTTAAGTGTGGATTTGTGTTTTTCTCTTGGTGTTTATATTTTATAGTATTTCTTTCATGGCTTTCAGGTATTAGTTCAGATAATTCTTTCGTGTAGCTTTCCCACGTATTTCTGTGTGACTTTTAATTGATTGTGTGTGTGGTAGGTTTGTTTCCTGCATTAATCTTAATGTTTCATATTTTGTTTTTTTGTCCTACAGTCCAGATATTTTCTTCTGACCTGCTTTGCTATACATTCGTTGTATTTTCATCCATGTTAAACATTGCTAATGTCACTCATTTCTTAATTTTGTTGCGTGTGTTTTAGGTTTTTAAATTGATTTAGTGTAGTCTCCAGTTCTTTGTACACAATTTAATATTGTCTTCAATATCTTTGAATACAATTAACATAGTTATTTTAACACCTATATTTTATGACCCAAAGGAGCCATGCTTGTGCAAATAGTTAAACAGCTAATAATTGAAGTGCTGGTTCAGACTCATCTAGTAGCTCTGCAGGGGAAAAGACCCAAATGAAAGATGCTTTCTTAGAGATTATAACCTCAAGAACCCTTTGAGGTTGTTTGACTCGGTCATTGGGGTTGCTGAGTTCCTATCAGTAACTGTGGTACATCATGCTATTGCTGCTAGATGCTGTGGAGTTGGTTCCTGCATGCCGTGACTCTGCCCGGGAATGAAACACTCCCCAGTCACGTACCATCCTCACAATGCATCCATTGTTGCAGCCACTTTGTTACATCAAGCCATCTTGTTATGGGTCTTCCTTTTTATTGTTAGACCTTTATAATAATATGCTGCTGTTTATCCACGTGTTGTTTGTCATGTGTTTGATGATTTTTATTGTGGTGAAAATGATTTTAAATTGTAGAAATTAGCTGTACCTCAATATAATATTTTTTTTTCCTCCAGAGAGGACATGCATTTGCTTCTTTTGCTTCGAGGCTTTCATAATTTAGATTTCTTAATCCCATTTCAGTTGAATAGATGAAATCAAAGCCCAGGGTCGATGAAATGTTAATTTACTCTTAATTATAACCTGTTGGATGGGTTGGGAAAGAGGGATGGGGTTTTCTTCTTTCTTTATCATTAGCCTCCTGACATTGTGAAAGCACTTTTTACCATCTACAGGGGGTATCCCCTCCAAAACCGGAATTTTATTTCAAGGCTAGATATTTAATTTTTTTTTTTACAAAACAACCGTAACACCTTCAAAGTACTTTACATTACATTTAATAAATTTGTCAAATCTGTGATTGCATTCTTTGGACACATTTTTCACACTCATCTGTTTGGATGGCTGACAGCACCTCCTTCATTTTTTCCCCTTTACCTCTTCTTTGTCATCAAATCGCTGTCCTTTCATGTTCCTTTTCATTCACAAAAACAAAAAGAAGTTGCATGGAGCGAGGTCAGGTGAGTCAGGTACGTGGGGCAAGAGAGGCATGCTGTTTTTTGTCAAAAACTGGCGCACTGAGATGACTTTGTGGTAGCAAAACCAGTCCCCCGGCCACAAATCTGGCCTTTTTTGTTGCACACTGTTATGTGATCTTTTCAGATCCTCTAAATAGAAAGCTTGATTAATAATCTAATCTGGTGAAATGAACTCCAAATGGACTCTCTCTCTCACATCTCAAAAACAAACGAGCATTAGGTTTTTTTGGATTCCCCTTCATAAGCTGCTTCCTTGAGAATAGAATGGTCAGATGCCACAGGGCAAAAATAGACTTTTATCCCTTTCCATTTTGGCCCAGTAACTCTCCATTATCACATCTAGTCTTTGATACCTTGAGTTACATTTTTATAAACAGAAAAGGGAGCAGTAAAATTTAATTTTTATTCTAAACTAGTTTTAAGTAAAATAGTGGAATGAGTCATGCTTGGTACAGTAAAGGGGCAGCAAAAAAGATGAAGACCTATGGCAAGATGGATTGACACTGTGCTGCAACGTGGGGTTCCAAGTTAAGAGCAGTTGTGCAGAGGGTACAGACCGGGCAGTGTGTGGTCCTGTTGTCCACAGCGCTGCTGTGAGTTGGAACTGACTTGGCAGCACCTAACAGCAACAAATAAAAACAGTGACGTTAAAGTGAAAATCTTAATAATAATATTGACATTGAACCATATCAAGAGTAAATTCTTCAAACTTAAGTATTGTGTTATATTTTATTTGGTTCTTTGAAGTAGTTTAGATTATTTCTTCTGGTATAAGAACAGCGATTCCTGGCCTCTGAATTTAAAAAGTATGTCCCTTTATTTATAGTACTGTGTGTAATTACTAGGGAGATTATTAAGAACAAAATTAATAGGGGTTTGACTATTCTGCAGTGGAAGTAAAGGTTAGTTAACGAGAATTTGTTTTTTTCTTTTGTGTTTGCTTAAAGTCATTTAAAGACTCATCTGAGTAAGTTAATGATTTTATTTTTCTCTGAAAAAGTTTCATTGAACACTAAATTACTTTATCTTTATTTATTTTTAGGTTGGGCTCATGTGGTTTGTGCCCTGTATATTCCAGAAGTTCAATTTGCCAATGTTTCTACAATGGAACCAATTGTTTTACAGTCTGTTCCACACGATCGTTATAATAAGGTAGAGTGGGTATTATTTTCTTATTGCTTGAATTTAATTTTCTTGTTTTAAAAAGTGAGTACTGTATAGAGAAAAAATTTAAAACTTTTTTGAAAAATAATGTCACCTACAGAAGAATGTTCTTTATAAAAGAAATGTTATTTTCACCCCCAAGATAGCATTTATGTTGATGTATTTTAAATTTGTAGCTAATATTTTAGCTTTTCCCTTCTTTGTCTTGATTTAGTAAAGATAAATAAGGGAGCTTTAAAAAATGTTCATAGAAAAACTCCTTTTTAGATCAAAAATTTCCTGAGCTTTTTGAAGCTCCCTTGTACATCTGTACCTCAATTACTGTTATGGTCAGTTTCCAAGGACAGATTGTTACATGAAAATGGAGGTGTTTTTTCCCCCTCCTGTTGCCAGGTCATTTGTCTGTTTTTAAAAAATTTATAAAATATTTTCATAGAAATAAAAAGAGCTAAGATTTAGCTGATCTTATCACTGTCACAAGGCCAGTTATGGATTATTCCTGTGTGGAGGAGGAGGAGGCTTGGATGAGACTAAGTGAATAAAGCCAGAAGTGTAACTGAACTTCCTATAGCTTAACCATGTCACCTTTCCTCCATGCGGGCTCTCAGCTCTGTTTCCACTCTTGGAAAGCCTGCACTGCCATCAGGCCAGATCATTGAGGTATAAAGCTTCCATGGAGGGTGATAGGACCTTCCATGATGTTCACCTGTTCTACTGTAGTAGAGGAGATAAAGGCATCCGGCCCAGTTTTGCTCACTTTGGGATGTCATTGAACCGGAATACATTTCTTCCAAACACTCTTCTCTACTTTATCGTTCTTTCTACCCTTCCAACCTCAAAGCAATTATGAACTGGCTGGTCTCTATTCACCTGGGTGCTAGAAATACAGCACAGGTACCCACTCGTTTGATGCTGCCTGCATGTCTGGCCATTCACCAGGAAGAGGCCACTTTGCCAGCAGTAGGAGAAAGTTAAGGGCTGAGAGTAGTGTGATCCAGCTTCCCAGAGGCCACCTGGAGAACCCTCTCTCTGGGAGGGAATGTTCCACAGTTGTTGCCAAGCAGGCCTGAACTTGCTAATCTCAAAATAGTTGGATAGTAGTTTTTAAAATTATTCCTTTAAATAGTAGAATGTCAAGAACAAACTCATCAATAAGTGAGGAGCAAGTGTATTGGTTTTACTCTCATCAGCATCACAATACTATAATGTATTTAAATGATCCATTAACCATATATGTGTGTGTGTGTGTGTGTGTGTGTGTGTGTGTGAGTCATGTCAAAATCTTTCTTTACCGTAATGTGTAAACACATTCTTAGTCCTTTTGAGATAATTTCCAGAAAGGTTTCAGGAATTGCAAAGATCTTTTCCTTTACTAAGTTACTAAGAGTAATTTATATATAATGTTACATATGAGGGTACTTCAAAAAGTTCATGAGAAAATTTCATTATCTTAATTTTATTTTTTCACGAAGTTCTTGACGCTCCTGATATACAGACATACATCTATGAGGCAGCTTCAAATGTTTTGTGGGAAAATGGAATTGTGAAAGACAATGGAATTTATTTTAACATACTTTTGAAGACCTTTTTTGTTAACCTTTTAATATAGTTCTCACCCTTTAATTGAAATTCTTTTGAGTAATCTATACATTGAAGACAATGGTTTCACAGCCATTTTAAAAGGTGTTTTAAAATACAAAAGCTTGAGAATAGAGAAAAGTATATGATGAAAACGATCTTAAGACATCACTTAGACCTTTCTATATTTTTTGGTGAATTTTTGCATGGAACTGTGTAAATTTACGGTACTTGAATCATATTGTTTATACTGTTTATATATTTTTAACACAACTTGAACATCTTTTTTCTTCAAATTATATTTTTGCTATTTCTTTCAATGGCTCCAAAAGCCAAATCCACTTGCATCTGCCTCATAGTGACCCTGCAGGACAGAGTAGAGTTGCTCCATTTACAGTTTCCAACTTTTAAATCTTTAGGGAAGCAGTCATCTTTCTCTTACAGAGTGGATGCGTGGGTTCAACCCTGCTTACTTTGAGGTTAACACCTCACTATTTAACCCCATTATGTCACAGAATTCCTTTTTAATGGATACATGGTACATGGTACATAGTGTTAATGAGTAACAGTAGGCTAATTAAGCAATCCCTCATCGAAGGGCCCAATTTGGTGTGTCATATGCAGTACAAATCAATAAAACTTCTGTGTAAAAACTTAGGAACACTGGGACAGCTTTAATATACTTGAATCATGAATGAATGAGATTGCTTATTATCCTATATCTTGTTGAAAGAATTGCAGTACTGATAAAGAATAATCTTTGGTATTTTCATGGGGAAAAAAACCCCAACAAAAACAGTATCTGGTAAGGTTAAGTATTTTAACACTGCTTTAAAGTTAATTTTTGTTAATTGAGTTGCATTTTCCCTTGCTTTTCATTTTTACTTAGATGTTTTTGTTAAGAGAGATTCTTTTGTCCTATATATACTCATATGTTTTTGCTCCATAATTTCTCTTCGAACTTTGTCTATGGCTTTTGTTGTTATTTTGGTATGTTAACATGGATACATTTTGATCCTTTTAAAATCTTTTGAAGGATTTTGTTATGTCACAATCTTTATTGTAATATGTAAACACATTCGTAGTACCTTTGAGGTAATTTCCAATTTACAGAAAAGTTTCGGAAACAGTACAAAGAACTTTGCCTACACTAAGCTACTGAGAGTAATTTGCCAATATAATACTTTGTTAACCCTGAATACTTTTAATGTGTATTTCCGATAAAGAATAACATTCACATAATAAAAAACGCAGCCACCAAAATTGGGAAATTAACACCAGTCAGTTATTTCCAGTTAGACCACAGGCTTCATGTATGTAGCCCCAGTTTTCCCAGTAATATCTCTCATGGCAGAAAGATGATAAATTGCCTCATCTATTTAGCCTCTTTTTAATCTCGTATTCTTTTTGTAACTTTTAAGTTATTTTAATTCTTGTGAAAGTTATTGGCTAATTGTGTTGTAGAAGTTTTAATTTGATAGTTTCTTTTTAAAAAAAATCATTTTATTGGGAGCTTGTACAACTCTTATCACAATCCAAATATACATCTATTGTGTCAAGCACATTTGTACATTTGTTGCCATCATTCTCAAAACATTTTTTTTCTACTTGAGCCCTTGGTGTCAGCTCCTCATTTCCCCCCTGACCTCCCCCGCACTCCCTCCCTCCTTCCTGAACTCTTGATAATTTATGAATTATTATTTTTTCATGTCTTACACGATCTGTTTTGGGCAGAAATATAGAAGTAATGCTATATTCTCACTGTATCCTATCAGCTGGTTCATAGTTTCAGTCTTTGTATTATTGGTGATTTTAGCTCGATCTCTTGGTGCCATCTGTAAGGTTTATTCAGTTATTCCCCCTTTAATAAGCCAGTAAGCTTTTTTCTTAAAAACAAACATTTTATTGGGGGCTCGTACAACTCTTATCACAATCCATACATACATCAGTTGTATGAAGCACATTTGTACATTCGTTACCCTCATCATTCTCAAAACATTTGTTCTCCACGTAAGCTCCTGGCATCAGCTCCTCAATTTTCCCCTTCCCTCCCCGCTTCTCCCTCCGTCATGAACCCTTGATAATTTAGAAATTACTATTATTTTGTCATATCTTACACTGTCCAACGTCTCCCTTCACCCATTTTTGTGTTGTCCGTCCCCCAGGGAGTAGGTCACATGTAGATCCCTGTAATCAGTTCCCCCTTTCTACCCCACCCTCCTCCCACCCTCCCCGTATTGCCACTCTCAGCACTGGTCCTGAAGAGATCATCTGCCTTGGATTCCCTGTGTTTCCAGTTCCTATCTGTACGAGTGTACATCCTCTGGTCTGCCAGATTTGTAAGGTAGAATTGGGATCATGATGGTGGGGAGGAAGCATTTAGGAACTAGAGGAAAGTTGTATGTTTCATCGTTGCTACACTACTGCACCTTGACTGGCTTGTCTCCTCCCCATGACCCTTGCGTAAGCTTTTTTTTTTTTTTTTAAAGGAAACACTTTGTTTATAAATATCCGGCCCTCATTAGACTTACGCATTAAATTTAGTATCCAGTGATGAATCTTAGCTCAATTTATGGATTACTAATCATTTATTATATAATTGATGACAAATACTGCTTTTTAAATTCTATTTGTTTTTCATTTAAGAGTTTATAATCCACTATAAGTAAAAGCTTTTTCTGTTACCAACTTATTTATATTAGTTTGAAGATACAGATGCTGTTTCATTTTCATCGTTCATAGTTTAGTAAATAATTTATTCTGATCCTCAAATTGTCTTATGTTTGCCTTGTAGAATGATTCAAACTGACTTTCATATCACTTACTCGGTGAGCACTCCTGAGCAACAAGGTGTTTGTTGGAGGCTCATCTCGTGTATTTCTGCCCTAGTCTTGGAGTAACCATTTTTTGTAAGGATCCCTGGTTCCTTTTACTAGAGTGGTATTATTGGGGTATTGCTGTCCCCAGACCCTTTCCGTGGACTAGACAACTGTATGTGTATACATACAAAGATAAGAACATGTACACACATATACCTATGTATTTTCTGTATCTATATGAGGGTGTCAAGAAGTATTGATCTTAAGGTGCTAGTTCTTATATGCACGAGCTTATTCTAAACAAAATGTTCTTTAAGTCTGCCTGTGTACTTTGTGATTGTTAGTAAACCAGGTTTCTCAGTAGTAAATAAACATCTTACTTTCATTAGGGTACCTTCTAAAAAAAATCCACTGAAAATAGTGGCTTCCAAAGAGATCTGCTGGGCCAGTTAATTTCAAAATAGAGAGGTCAGTTCAAATCTATGGTGGCTTTTTTTTTTGTTGGAGAATCCAAAAGTTTATCTTGATAAATTTTCTCAAAGAACACACACTGATTATGAGTGCTTATGAAGGTTTAAGAAAATGGAAAGT